GCAGTGGCCTTTTCTTGAAGTTTGACTCTCATGGGGGGGGGGGAAGGAGGAAGGTAGAAGAGGGTGATTGGCCCCATCCATCTAGGGACCTTCAGGGACAGCCCTGGGTAAGCAGAGCTTGGGGCTTCAGTGATGGCAAACATGATATTTGCTGCAGAGTGTTACAGAACAGTGGCTGAGGGGAGTTGGATGTGTGCGTGAAGGGACTCTTGCCCAGATTTAGGGGAGGGAAAGTAGAAGCCTTTTAGGGGAGCAAGGAGATTTTGGGGAGAAAATCCCAGCAGTCAGCAGATGGAGGCTGGAGGAGGTCTCAGCAAAGTAGGGGTGAGGGAGGAGTGGGGAGGTGCGGGTGGGGAGTCCGCAGGGAGGTGGGGATGAGGGGAGCCACAGAGAGCTCATGGTGGCAAGGGGGGAGTCGTTAAACAGAATCTAGTGCTGATGAGGAAATTACACTTGTTTCATTAGCGATGGGGAAGGAGATAGCTCAGTTCCTCTTGGTCACAGTTGAGCTCAGAAGCTCATTATCCTGCTGCACGCATGCTTTCCCTCCTCGTCAATAAACAGGCTTTCCAGTGGCTGCATCCCCCACCCCCACCCCAGCTCCCTCTCAGAGAGGGGCCCCTTCTCCTCTACTTAACCCGCGGTTAGGGATCACTGTAAACAGTCTGGGGTCATCACACAGGAGAAAGGGCGAGGGGGAAACCCGGAGGCCTGGCCTTTCTCCCGCGGAGGGAGGGAAGCAGCTTCCGACGGCTCTCAGCCCACGGGCCCTCCGCTCGCCGCTCTCGCACCAGCGGGCAGTCCACCTGCCTCCCGCTCCCTCCATCCCCTGCTGTACCGCCAGTTTATAGAACCACTCGAGGGAAAGGGGGGTTCCCAGTAGAGCCCCACACCTTGTATTGCCACCGCGCTGTGATGCCACTCTGAGGACTTTCTGGGACAGTGTCACCAGACCAACCCCCCTGCTTCCACCGCATGGAGCTGTGACTCCTTGAAGCAGAGTGTTCACTATAAAGGCCCTCGGTCCCCATCGCAGCGGGGTGGGCGCGCCTGGACAAACCCTTCCGGGTGGCACCGGCTCACAAGTGTCTGATGTGTTAGGCGCGGGGGTGCTTCCCACTTCCGCCCCTGACTCTTCCCACGCAAACTGCGGGACTGCCCAGCCTCCGCGCGGCCAGCACTCTAGTGAAAGCCATGACCCTGCCCGCGACACCTGCACCTCAGACTCGGAGCGGGGCGGAGAATCGGCCGGCGGGGCTCGTGGGGTCCGCTCCGGTGTGCGCGTGTCTGATCCCCACTCCCCCTCCCTCCCGCAGGGAGCGAGTTCTCCGGCAACCCGTACAGCCACCCCCAGTACACGGCCTACAACGAGGCTTGGAGATTCAGCAACCCCGCCTTACTAAGTGAGTACGCCACCTGGCTGGCCGGCGGCTCAGCGCGTCCGCCCGCCCGCCCGCGGTCCCTTCCTCCCTCACTCACTCCAGCCCTCCAGCTCCGCGGTGGAGCTTTCGGACACGAGTCTCACTCCCGCGACCCGACCTCTGGGTGCCCAGCCGGGACATAGAACATACCATTTAGTGCAGCACTGAGACCCAGAGACCCCTTGAGTACACTCACGTCTCCCTCCCTTCTCCTCCCTTCCCTTCCCTCTTTTCCCCTCCCCTCTACCCGGTCGCTAGAGTCTCCGCTCCACTTTCACTGTTGGACCCTCCTCCCCCACTCAGGGCTCGCGGCCCGGAGTCATTGATCCCGTCCCTCTCCAGCCGCGTGAAGGCAGCTCTTCTCCGGGCAACTGGCCCCACGGCCCAGCCATGGTGTCCCCGCCCGGATCCCGCTGGACCCCAGCCCGGGGAGGTCTTTACTTTGCTTTTCTTTCCTTTTTTGTTCTCCTGTTTGTCCTCTCACCCAGCCCATTCTTCTCCTGTGTTAACTTCCAGGTTCCCCTTATTATTATAGTGCCGCCCCCCGGGGCTCCGCCCCTGCCGCTGCTGCCGCTGCCTATGACCGCCACTAGTTACCGCGGGGACCACATCAAGCTTCAGGCCGACAGCTTCGGCCTCCACATCGTCCCCGTCTGACCGCCCACCCCGGAGGGAGGGAGGACCGACGCGACGCGATGCCTCCCGGCCACCACCCTAGCCCTACCCATGTCCCAGGACCCCCACATCCCTTCACATCACCCCGTCAAAGGCCGGACAGGACGGGTGGAGCCGCGGGCGGGACCCTCAGGCCCGGGCCCGCAGCCCCCAACCCCGCCCACCGCCCCTCCCCGCCTGCCTGGACTGTGCGGCGGTACTCGGCCTCCCTCGACTGGCCTCGAAGCCGGCCTGCCTCCCAGCAGACTCGCGCCTGGCCCGCGGGGGCGCACGCCCCAAACATTTCTGTGACACACAATCAGCGCGGACTGCAGAGCAGCCCAGCTCGGGAGCAAGCCAGCATCGGCCGCTAGGGCACCAGGAGCTTCGCCGGAAGGGCAGGGCAAAGGAAATTAAGAACAAAATGACATTTTGCAGGAGGAAGAGCCCCTTGTCGAACCCTTTGGCAAAATGCCCTACCCCTTGCAGCCAGCCGTTCTGCCCCCGCCTTCTGGGTGTGCCCTGCCTAAGAAGGCCAAATGGGTGCACACGGGTTGGGCTCTAGGAACCGGCTTTGAGGGCAACAGGCCTTTCCAAGGTTGGGACACAAGGAGAGCCGGCCCCAGCAGCCCGCACCTGCCAAACCCAACGTCTGGCTCTTACCTGCTCCGCCTGGACTGCCTAGTTTCCCAGGGCCCAGCCACCTCCTACCATCTGACCCGACTCTCAGTCCTGCCTTGCCCTTACCTCAGCGTCTCTTCCACCTGCTGGCCTCCCAGATTCCCCTCCTGCCCCTTCTTTGCCCATCCCAAGACGCCCTGCACTCCTCCCTCCCTAACTCGCCGCCCCATCCGACGCTCTCCCGGGCCGTGGCAGAATCAGTTTCCGAAGGCCGCGAACACTAGTCATCCCCAACCAGTTACTTGACGCCCCCCTCCCCCGACACAGACTCTCTCGATCTGCCAGTGGTGGGAGTCGCTTCTGAGCTGGCGTTGAGCTGCCGCAGGTTGGAAGCGGGAGGCTACCCACTCCTCACCACCACCTCCCAGCCTCCTCCTCCGGCAGGAACTGAACAGAACCACAAAAAGTCTACATTTATTTAATATGATGGTCTTTGCAAAAAGGAACAAAACACAAAAATCCCACAGGCTGCTGCTTTGTAGAAAGACGGTGTGTGTGGTGTGAAGGCGAACCCCTGTGTATATAACCCCTCCCCCTCCGCCCGGTCCCGCCCCGCCCTATAGAGTCCCGGTCGCCCGCCAGCCTTGCCTGTAGATACGCCCTGCTGTCTGTGCTGTCAGAGTCGCCGCTCGCTGGGGGGGAGGGAGGGTCACAGCTACACGCCCACTAAAGCACAGCACGTCCTGGGGGAGGGGGGCATTTTTTATGTTACTAAAAAATTACGAAAGAAATCTCTATGCAAAATGACGAACATGGTCCTGTGGACTCCTCTCGCCTATTTTGTTAGCTAATTCTCTGTAATTCCGCGTTTTCGCTTTTTCCTCCTGGCATCTCTCCGCTCTCTTCATCTCCCCTGTCTGCTTCTTTCGCCCTCTGTCTCTGTCTCTCTCCGTCTCTGTCTCTTTTGTCTTTCTGTCTCTGCTGCTTCCTCGGCCTCTCTCCCCAACCCTGCCTGGCCGCCCTGTGGGCAGCCCTGTCCTCGCAGGCTACATCAGAGGCGGCAGCTCTAGCCCCCTGGGCTCGCTCCCTCGAGGCCGTGCCCCGCGCGTGCTGGGCGGCCGGGCCGCCCTGTCCCGCCCCGTAGTTGCTCTCTCGGTAGCGGCGATGCGCCCTGCATGTCTCCTCACCCGTGGATCGTGACGACTCGAAATAACAGAAACAAAGTCAATAAAAGTGAAAATAAATAAATAAATAAAAATCCTTGAACAAATCCGAAAAGGCTTGTAGTCCTCACCCAGATCTCTCTCCCCTTGGAGCCTTTTTATTTAAAAAGGAAAAGGAGAAAAGAGAATAGTTTAAGTGAACTGCCAGCGCTCAGTCAGGCTCCAGTGGCCGGAGCTGGGCTGCGAGGGCACCGAGGTCTGAACTCCGAGGCTCGGCCCATCCTGGTCCCTTGGGGCTGGCCGGGTAGAGGCCTGGACTCAGACCCAAGCCTAACCTTGGAAAGGTCCCCTGACGGTTCTGGTCTCCTTGGCCACTTTCAGTGTGTCAGTTCGTTTTGATTCGTTTTCTTTTTCTTTTTGTGCACATAATAAATAAATAAATAAATAATAATAAATAATAATAAATAAATAAAATTTTGTATGTCACTCCCCACGGCTCCAGGTTTGTCTCTCCCTGTCTCTGGGGTGGGTCTCCCTTCACACTGGTCATCCCCAATAATCCCCTCGATGATCTTCTCAACTGCACTCCCACTGTGACCCCCTCCAACTCCGTTGCTGGACACCCTTGGCCGCTGAAGGCAAAGGCAGAGACCAGCCTGCCCAATCAGTAGCCTCTTTTCTCTAGGCACCCCTGCCCTCAGGGCAAGCAGTTCTGACTTTCTGAACTTCAGAATAACTCAGAGTAATTCATCTATACCAGGCCAACTCTGCTGTCCTGGCACTCTACCTGCACCCATATTTAGGGTGCAGCAGGCTAGCAGGGTGCAGCTGGATGTCCCACACACTCTCCACGTGCCTGCAGGGGTGGGAGCGTAGAGGTTGCTGTCCTATTTCCTCCCTCCGCTCGCTCACTTGCACGCAACTTTATCCCCAGAGTAGGCAATGAGACCGGGGAGACCTGCAGACGCTTCCACAAATTTCTTACCTCTGAATTTACTTCTGGGCCTGAGAGTGCCAGACCTGAGGAAACGCAGGGAGCCAGCTCATGATACTTTGCCTGCCCCCTGTGTATTGTGGAGTCTCAGACCTTGGCGAGCAGCAGCTGGGACTGGTGGCCTCGGTACTGTGCTCTAGCAGTCTGTTGGCTGGTCTCAGTGGTTGGGTGACTCCACGCGAATGGATTTCTGTTTGTCTTTGTGGGTCTCTATGTCGCCGGGTGTGTCTCAGAGAGAGATAATAGAACTGTTTGTCTTTTTTAGACATCTTTCTTCTTGTGCCCAGGAGTCCAGCAAAGGATCTATGGGTCTGTTGCTGTGTCTCTGTTCCAGTTTGGAGGAGGGATATGGTGACTGTCCAGGATTGTCCTGTTGCATCAGAGATATTTGGGAGGGTTGGAAGGGTTAGGAGGGGGATGTGAAGGGGAGGGTCCCCCAACCTTCCCCTTCAGCAATCTCCTAGCTCTAACTCTCCCACCCTTGCCATCACAAAGGCCCTGGCTTCCACTTGGGCTCACTCTAGGAGACTTTTCTTCTGCACCCCTGGGAAACCTTCCCAGCTCTACTTCCACCTGTGCCTTCTCCCATTTGAAAAGGCTCTTGAAACTCTGAGCCAGAAATAACTGGTGGAGGGGTGGTGCATGGTACAAGCAAGGCCGTGGACAGACTAAGGAATGACCTCCCCCTTGGCTGGCTGGGGCAGTGTTTATCCTTCCTACCAGAATCCCAGAGACCTTTCCTTTCCCAAGGCAGTTTGTCCATACATATATCATGGCACCGAAAGGGTATATGAAGGACCCCAAAAAATCAGCAATCCCCCCCACAATCAAGTCCATTTCCTTCCCTCTCCCTCCCTTTTTCCTCTTTATTCCTCAACTCAACAAACAGCAGCAGTCCCACTTTTCACCGTGTTAGAAATCTACCAATCTCCTAAAAAAGTGATCTTCAAATTTCTTTGGTCATACACCCTATTGGTAAAAAGAATTCTGAACATGTACTTCCAATATAAGTGTATTTACTTATTTACAAATTCCATAAATATACTACTAGACTGATTAAATCTTATAAAATGTAAATTAGGGGATGAGATTAGAATAGATAGAAATAGAATTTCTAATGTTTTCTTCTCATACCCCAGTGGATTATCTTGCATCCCTGGAAAGTATGAACCCTAGTTTGAAAATCTGCTTAAACCCATGAAAATCCAGTATGGCAGAACTCTTGACTATTGCCTAATGCCCAGTAAGTGAGTTTGTGGACGTTACCAAGGCACTGGGTTCACTGCCCTCATCATATGTAGCAGGTACCTGGCCACTAGTGCCTGGCTTTGCCCCCAGATCCCCCAGACAGGAAGCCCCACTCTGCCCAATCCAGCAATTTGGGAACCCATGTGGAACCTACATTGATTCCCACCAGAAACTGTTGTCTTTTGCTTCTGGTCTCTTTCATACCAAATTGGACAGCAAGGACCCCATTATTTATCATTTCTGCCCAGATGCTTTCATGCTATCCCTCCTGGGGTGCTGATTTTGGTTTGGAATCATCCTGAGAGTTCCAAACATGCTCTCTAGTCCTTAGCCAGTTGTCTGTTCTAACTGCAGTCTCATTACCCACCCCCAGTACAAAAAGGGTCTATTCTCCAGCTTCAGCTTATTTCCCCCAAAACTCATTTTGACTTTGCTAGTTCCGTCCCCATCAACCTGACAGAGTTCTGGGCTGAGGTATACAATGTATGACAGTTGAAACAAATGAGAAAATGTGTCCTGGGTTGACAGAACAACAGTAGCAGAGCCATGAAGACATGGAAGTATATCAGATAAAATATGGCTGGAGTATCATATGTAGGAAGAGATGGAGGGGATAGGGGTAGGTGGCAGGAGATGAAACTTAATATTAGTTGGTAACTAGGACACTTAGTGGGATATCAAAATGGTACCTATTTCACACACACATAGCTACTTTAAGGAAGCCACCCCAGCCACAGCCTCCTCCTGACCATGCATATAATAGCTGGTACAGAATTAGACTTGTACACAAATCCACACTGAACCAATCAATCCTCCTCTCTGAGGAAACAAGACTAGAAAGTATAGAGAGAATGAGACCATTATCCTTGAGCAGCAAAGCCTGATGGAGGCCCTAAGGGATTTCCTAGTCTTCCTCACTGCAGTAAATGTAGCTCCATTCCACCAGTCACTCAAGCCCCAAACCCAAATCTTCCCCGACTCCTCCTACCTTTTGCATCCCACATCTGGTCCATCAGCCAAACCAGAGAATTCTGCCTTTAAAATGGATCCAGAATATGATCACTTCCAGCTATCCACACTGTACCATCCTGGTCCAACCAGCATGAGCCTTCACCTGGACATGCAAACAACACACAAAAAGTTTTTATTGCCAGGTGCGGTGGCTCACACCTGTAATCCTAGTGCTCTGGGAGGCTGAGGTGGGTGGTTTGCTTGACCTCACCAGTTTGAGACCAACCTGAGCAAACGTGAGACCCTGTCTCTACTAAAAATAGAAAAACTGAGGCAAGAGGATTGCTTGAGAACGAGTTGAGCTATGGCACCACAGCACTCTACCCAGTGCGACAGCTTGAGATTCTGTGTTAAAAAAAAAAAAGTTTCTATTGGTCTTTCTGCTTCTATCTTTGCCTACCTCCAGCAGCCACAGTGATTGTTTAAAATGCACAGCAATTCATGTCTTTCCTCAGCTCAGAACCCTCCATGCTTCCCCCTCTCTCTCAAAGTCAAAATCCTAAAGCTAAAAAATCTTAAAACTGACGTCTCAGGTTCTACATTCCACTCTTCACTCACCCCCACGACCACCATAAATCGCCTCCCATCACTTCCTCCAGCTCACTGTGTGCTCTGAGCCTGCTGGCCTCTGTGTTATGCTTCTATCACAAACATTTGCACCTGATGTGCCTTTTGCCTGCAAACTCTCACCTGGACACCCCCATTACTGGCTCCCTCACTTCCTTAAGGTCTCAACTCTAAAGTTAACCTATTGGGCAAGGCCTTCCCTGACCACCTTAAATCAAACAGCATACCCCCTACCATCACTCTGTTCCTTTTCCCACTTCCCCACACTGTTTACCACCACTCACAGATTACATGTTTTAGTTTGTATGTCTCCTCCTCTCCCATTAGAATGTGAGTTTCATGAAGACAGACTTTTGTCTCCTCTCTTTACTACTACTTCCCCAGTGTCTGGGACTGTGCTCAGCACTGAGGAGGTATTCAATAAATAAATAAATAAATGGAGTGATGACAAGAAATCACAAGTAAGCAGGAGGCTTGAGGTAAGGGAGAGATCACAGAGTAGAGGGCCAGAGATGATAGGAGCCCTCAATAACAAACAGGGGGAGGGTGACCCTAGATAGCAACTGAGTTGCTAATGAGGAGGTTGGAGAGGACAGATACTATTCTTGCTTCTGCTACAACCCAGAGGTTTGATTTGGGGGGGGGGTGTTTTGTTTTTTGAGACAGAGTCTCACTTTGTGCCCTGGGTTGAGTGTAGTGGCATCATAGCTCACAGCAACCTCAAACTCTTGGGCACAAGTGATCCTCCTGCCTCAGCTTCCCAGGTGGCTGGGACTACAGGTGCCTGCCACAACACCCAGCTAACTTTTCTATTTTCAGTAGAGATGGGGGTCTTGCTCTTTCTCAGGCTGGTCTTGAACTTCTGAGCTCAAGCAATCCACCTGCCTCAGCCTACCAAAATACTAGGATTAGTGATGTAAGCCACCATAATGGGCTGCAACCCAGAGATTTGAGACTCTTAAGCACTGAACTCCTCGAATAACTCCCAGCATGACCTGGACCCTTGGGTTAATCTCTGGTCTTTATGATGCAAAGCACCTACCACAGTTCCCATGGTACTGTGGATGGCACCAAAGTTGCATCTCTCCTTCCACTGGAAAACTTACCCTGGTCCCCATCCTATATAGTTCTGTCAATCAGAGTGCCCCATCAGCTCCTGACTACAGATTTGGGCCTGTGATCTCCATCTGGCCAAGGAGGACCCCATGTCCCTGGGCATGGCACATAGAAACAAGTTAGAAAAAATAGTTCTCCCCTATTTTTACTGTACACAGGCTATTATTGAGTATCAGAAGAGGCAGGGTCTCTTCTTTTGGACTGTGAGCTACAATGATAAGGGCTTAGGACCCCTAAGGACTCACCTCCACTATGTGGAGGATTCCCACCTGAGAATGAAGCCACATCAACAGTCAAGCAGAGACCAGCACAGCTGAGAGGTAGAGAGAGAAAGAGCTCTGGTGCTATCATTTCAGCCTATGGAGCAAGACCTACTTTTGGACTTCCAGGACCATAAGCCAATATCTTCTCCTTTTGTTGGTTTGTATAAATGTGTTGGGGTCTATCACTTGCAACCTAAAATGTTCTGATAAACATTTCCAGAGGATACTAATGCTCTGTTTGGATCCAGTGGCTTTGGATTTTTTTCGATAGGCAGTGAGAGCTATGG